TAAGACATAAACACTGCCCTCTTTTTTTTCCACATTTTAATAAAATCGGGGAAGGGTGAAGCTAGGGAACTATATAGTATGAATGTCCATCCTTTGGGTAGAGCCCTTAGGTGCATTGTACTATATAGCACTGCCTACCTCAAAAATCTACCTCCTGGGTAGACCCTTTGAGTTTTTTTTGAGATAGGTGGAACCTAAAAGTCATCCTTGCCGTCCTGTTGAGTTAAAAAAAAAAAAAAAGAGTAGAGATCATTCTTCAAAAGAGAGCCAAAATCCTTACTTCTAAAAGTTCTCTCTTGTTTACGTAAAAAAGAAAAAGATGATAATGAGAGAAAGTGGCTAATAAACCTAACATAACATTTTTAGAAGAGAAAAACTAGGGAAAAATCTCTTTCCTAAATTAATTAGGATTTTATTAGAAGTTGCTCTCCAAAAGAGACTCTCGGCCAAAATACTCCAGCTAGCCGCCCAACTTGTACTACCAAAAAAAAAAAAAAAAAAAATCCGAATTTTGTAGATTGGTCCTTAAAGCTTCCAAATATTCCACTTTTGCCCTAAAATTTTTGTTTTTTTAAATTTAGTCCTTAAAGTTTCTTTTTTTTAAAAAAAATAAATAGGAGGTTTAGAAAGGAGCTCAGGTTCTAACTTCCTCAAAAACACTCAAGGGGTCTACCCAAGAGATGAATTTTTGAATCAGTTATAGCCAAATGATGTAATGCACCCACGGGATCTACCCGATGGATGGACATATACATCATTCAGTTCCTCAGCTTCTCCCTACCTCTGTTTTATTAATTTTCCATTAAATGAAAAAATCTGGAAGTGCTTAAGACTTTCCACATTACAAAGCTATTTGAGCCTAACTCGTACATATGGAAACGAAATTTGATCTAAACAAACTAGACCACGAGTATGCCTTGGCAATTCCCCCAATCTAGTATAAATGCAAGATTGCCCTGGTGATCCTTGACCGGCCAAGCTGTCCGCCACTGAGTTTGCTTCACGAAAAATATGAGAAATTGAATATGAACGCCTCTCCATAATACTATGAATCTCACTACTTTGAAAGTAATATTTCCATGGGATCAGTTTTAGATTCCTCAAAAGATTGGCCAGCACCTTGTTGTCCGTTTGAATGTCAACATGATCCAAATTGAGATGAGCACATTTTCGAACACCAAAAAGCAGCTCATAAATCTCTGCGCCAAAACTGTCACACGCACCAATATACCTATGCTCTCCATACAGGAAGTTCCCACCAAAGCACCTAATGACAAAACCATAGCCAAAATCTTCATTGGTAGCCGACCCATCAGTATTGAGAACAAAGCTTTCATTACTCCACGACTTCCAACAAACCGAGATACAAGTCCTTGTTTGGATTTTTTGTAACTTTATACCAAATGCATTATCAATGAATTCCCTTTCCTCCACATTCCTTATCTTCAAATCATGTACAAACAAAATGTTCCGAATTGAGTTAGTTATATCATGAATAACTATCCCCTTTTCAAACGGAATACCATCAAAGTACATTTTGTTCCTAGCTTTCCAAACCTCCCAAAATTTAAAGGAAGGGAGTATGCGGATGATAGATTGTTTCGCCAAGGAAACGCCACCAGCACTCCACCACATATATAGCAAATCAAGCAATGTAGCCATGGCTTCTATTTTAATGTCAAACAGATTAGCAAAATGTCCCCAAATACACTTTATTTCCGGGCAGCCAAAAAAGCAACGGGATATATTCTCTTCATGCATTCTACAGAACAAACAAATAGAGGGCCGAACCTGGATACCGAAATTGCATAAAATCTCTGGAAGTGGCACCAACAAATTCCTGAGTTTCCAAACAAAAAACGACACCCTTAGAGGAATCAATTTATGCCAAAAAATTTTAGCCAACGTGTCGACTGGATTCCTTCTCCTCAGGCTCAAGAATGCTGACTTTATTGAAAAAATACCACTAGATGAATGCTGCCAAACAAGCAAATCAGGTTCACCGGTGAGGGAGATGTCCATGTCTCGCAACATTTGGACCTTTAGCGCACCAAGCGCCCCATGCAGTTCAGTCAAGAGCAAGTCCTTATTAATGAGAAAATTCCGTATGGTAAGATTTGGCATTGGAGGAGAACCATGTGTGCAATCCAATAGTACGCCATCGGGCATCCAATTATCAAACCAAAAAAATCGATCACCTCCATGGACCAAGACCTTTGAATTTTTTTCTGCCTCTTGCTCAATTTCCGAAACCCTACTCCAAGTTGTTTTCTTTTCTTGCAGTGTCCAAGAGTGAGCAAATAAATTTGCTCCATAATCCAGATTGATGTTTAAATTTCCACCATAGTTTATAGGAAAAAGCTTGCACTACATCAATAAAGCGGCGCAACCCTAGACCATTTTCCTCTGTTGGAAAGGTTAATCGCTCCCAGGAGCGCCAATGCCTTCTCTTTTCTTCACTTGAGCCTTGCCACAAAAACCTTTGGCACCTTTTCTCCATTTGCTTGAGGACCGAAGCGGGAGGACTAATAGCTGAAAACACATGGATTGGTAAGGCAGCAAGTACATGTCTCAAAAGTGTACGTCTTCCGCCCGTACTTAACAATTTATTCTTCCAATTAGCCAACCGAGAGTCCAGCGAGTCCAATAACAATTGGAAAATTGAAGCCTTTTTCCTCCCCTGAAATAATTTGCAGCCGAGGTACATAAAAGGAAAGGAACCCTTTTGCATCCCCAAAGTATCCGTGATGATCTCTATCCTTCGCGCCAGCATGACTCCGCAACTAGGAAAAAACTTTTTTGACGATTCATCTTTTGGCCTGATGCTATTTCGTAATCATTGAAAAACACATCCAATGTTCTTAGAGATCGCTTTTCCCCTCCAGTAAAGATTATCAAATCATCGGCGAAGGATAAATGCGACACCCTCAAGCTACCAGCCGGAGTAGCATACGCAGCTAGCTTTCCTTCATGCATTAAGGAATTTAGACGCCTCGTCATTGCCTCCGCAACTAGGATAAATAAGTAAGGTGACAACAGATCACCTTGTTTTATTCCACATGTTGCCTTAAAGAATCCTGATGGGGAGCCGTTTACCGTCACCGAGAACCAGCTGCATTGGAGATTATTCATAATCAACAAAACATACCCCTGCGGAAACCCTAGCTTAAGCAAAACCTTCTGTAGAAAATTCTACGAAACTCGGTCAAAAGCTTTCATCATGTCGACCTTTATGATCACATTATTTCCCACAGCCTTGTGCATAACAAATTGACAAAGGTCTTGTGCCAAAACCACATTATCTATAATATCGCGTCCTTTAAGAAAAGCCGATTGCTCCTCCGATATGATTTTTGGCAAAACTTTCTTCATCCTCTCAGTCAAGATTTTAGTAAAAATCTTATTCAGGAAAGTGCAAAGACTGATAGGTCTAAAGTATGAAAATGCGATAAAAGAATGCTTCTTCGGCAGCAATGTAATTAAGGTGCTAGATATACCTTTTGGAAGCGGCACTCCACTCATGAATTCAGAACATGCGCATAGCAAGTTTTCAGCAATAACGTCCCAAAATGTTCTATAGAACGTCCCTCCAAATCCATCTACTCCCGATGAACTATCCTCATCAAGGCTGAAAACCGCGGCACGCATCTCATCCATTGTAACCGCAGCATTTAACATTTCTTTATCCAAAGGATCTAACTCATCATGTAGTGGGTGCAAAAATTTTTCCTGTTTTTCATCTTGTGAAATTGGCGCAGGATCCTTAGTCAGCAAGGTGTGGAAAAAAATCACCGCCTCAGCCTCTATATCCCTTAATTCGGTTAAGGTTCTTCCATCCACCGATTGAATTTTGTGGATTCCCAACGTTACATTCTTCTCCGCTAACGTGGCATGAAAAAAGGATGAATTGATGTTCCCTTCCTTTAACCACTTCAATCTCATCTTTTGTTTCCAGAAATCCTCATGCTCCTTCAACTTTTGGAGATAAAACGCATTGGCCTTGCTAAGATGGACTCGGTCCGCTAAGTCACCCGTTTGGTCATGCTGAATTTCCAATTCCTTCACCCGCGCTTCAGCTTTTTTAAAATTTGCAAAGACATCTCCAAAGGGTTCTTTATTCCATTCCTTGAGTTTTAATTTCAGTCGGCGAAGTTTAGTGGAAGACGCAAATATGCCACAACCCTGGACCGGCTGAGACCAATTTTCCTTGACCAACTCATTAAAACCCGGCATCCTTAACCACATTTGCTGGAAACGGAAACACCTTGGCCTACTTTCAGCTTGAACATCAAATTGTAGGAGCAGTGATGAATGATCTGAAGTTGTGCGACTCAGGTGTTCCATCGAGATCTTCGGAAAGAGATTGCTCCATTCTTGTGATATCAATATGCGATCCAATCACTTACTAACCCAACCGGTATGCCTCATACCACCCCAAGTATACTCATCACCGATGGGAGGAAGATCAAGCAACTCGCAATCGTCAATACATTTATTAAACACTTCAATAGCGCCATAATCTTGCACCGACGAACCCGAATACTCATCCAAGGACCGAATAACATTAAAATCCCCTCCAACAATCCAAGGAGAGTTAGGTGCGCACCTGTAAATGTCACCAGGCTATTCCAAAGAGTTCTCCTATCAGCTTTATTTGACTGAGCATATATGGAAGATAACAAAAAAAATTTTTACCACGGAACACATGTGACTTCGAAGTGCATCGCTTGCCCTGCATCTTCTATCATATTGATGGAGAAATTCCGGCTACCAAACACCCATATTTTACTTGTGGAAGAGGAGAATGCCATATGAAACCTCAACTCTCTTCTTATTTCTTCCAGTTTATGACATGGAAGCATTGGCTTTAGTATAAGCAACAAGGAAATTTTGTAAATCTGAATCATGGACCTCAAACGACGCTGAGATGCTTGACTCTTTATTCCCCGAATATTCCAAAAAACGACGCTAGTCATTTGATAATTTAGAGAGATTGGAACCTACTGAAGTCGAAGGGAGCGCCTTAATTCAACACCCTCCGGTTGTTTTGCATGTTCTTCCTTCAACTTGCTCCCCCGCTTCTTGGTGACAGTGCGCTTGCCGTGTTCATTTTCAACAATGTGATCATCATGAATTTCTCCATCAGACCATAACTCTCTCTCATCATGAACCACCTCATTAGTAGGGATTTCATTCGCAGATGTATCATCATTAGATCGAATGGGATCTAGTTGCGGGACCAAGGACATATTCCGCAGCTCAACTTCAAGTAAAGCTCTAGTGTTGGTTAAATCCGAATTAACATCAACCGAAGTAGCGCCGATATTGTCTTGTTCTTCCTGACTTTGCATATGAAATTCAGAATGGACATTTGCCATCTCCTCTTCGGTCTCCTCACCCTCTACAGCATGGAGAATCGCAAATCGATTTTCCGATTGAACAAGAGATGGCGCATCAACACAGACGGCTTCAGTTCTAACCGGGGATGGATGCAAGTCCACCAGGATTGTTTCTTTTTCCGTCGCGGACAGACCAGAAGATGATTCAAATTGCCACAATTCACCTTGCGCGCCTAGGGTTTCTTCCGCAGCTAGGGTTTTGTCTGCAGGCCGTGCCTCTAGGGTTTTTGTCACAGGGTTGTTTTTTATTATCTTCGTCACCACCGTTGCTTCCTTTTCCACTCCTTTGACCACCAAGGGATTCAAACTTACAATTTGTGCATCCAGTGTATTTTTCAGATCACCACCTTTCAATGTCCATTTAGGCTTTGCTGACTTGATTTTAATTCCTTTTTTCTCTGGAACCTCAATCTTGTCCGCCGCAGTCACTCTCACCATGGGCTTTCCAACTCTGCAATCAACGTCCTTGTGGCCGATCTTGCAACATTCAATCAATACGATGGTATATGCTCGAATGTGAAAACTTGTTCATGCTTACGACCCTTTTTGCCCACCTTTACGGATTTTGGCAAATCCTTGGTAAGATCCACCTCCACGCAGAATCTAGCAACCGAGGGGCGGGTCATATTCAATGTCGGAGTGTCCACTTTCAAAGACTGTCCAAGGGCTGTGGCCATTGAGTAAATCACTTCCGGGTGCATGAATTCAAAATGGAGATCGTAGAGAGCTACCCATATTGGCACAACCGGAGGGTCTTCCTCAAATATGAATCCGGGCATCCATTTCATCATTCACATTGAGAATCCACCAATATTCCAAAATGTTTGAATCCAAGATTTTTGATAGTCCTCCTCCATTTCAAAGCGAATCAATACATGTCTAGGATTCATCAAACCTAAGGTGTATGCACCATTGAATCCGATCTTCTTGAATTCAACGTGAATCGCCTCCATTTTCGGCCTACCGTAAGAGAATTTCCCGACGAGGCTTAACCGGTGTGGAGCAATTAGTTGTTCAAATTCCTCATCTTCAAACTCCAAAGTTGGAGTGTCATTGATAAACTTGACTTCCTTGATCAAAGAGATTGTAGACACATCAATCTATTTTTTGAAAAAAAACTGGCAAAAGATTTCGGTGGCGTAGGTGTTGCCTCCGGTGGGCAAGATCCGGCCATGGTGGCCGAACCCTAGCGAACGTGGCTGAGTTTTTCACAGAGAGGGTTTCGCAGAGAGAGGTTTTTTTATTTATCCTTAAAGTTTCTTTTCTCTTCCATATCGCTCCAAATCTTCAAATTCACTCCATTAGCTTTAAATCCTATACAGAAAATTAAATAACAAGTGAAATGTCCCCAAAATACTAAAAACATAAAAAAACTCTTAAGTAAAATAGTAGGAAAATAAGTATATAAATTGCATTATCACCCGCCCAAAAGATTGATGGATTACTTTCTTCGTGATCAAGAACATAACCTTTATGGATTGGATGTGACTTCTCAACTCCTGCCTGCTATGAGAAATCTGAAACTTGACATTCTCAGGTTTAAGATTGACTCGAGAAAGCTGAGTAGTATGAGCAATCCCAATTCTAACAATCGGGATAATTACATCGTGGGAGTTTTTTTTTCTTTTTTGAGAAATTAAAAAAAAAAACTATTTTTTATGAAGTCTCGTGGGGCTAGCTACTGCAGGGGTTCCATCAGACACAGTTTCGCCAGGCATCCCTCCGGCACAGCATCATCAGGAGTCACTATCACAGCGGGCCGATTCATTGTTGGTCGACTTCTGGTTACAAAGGCACAAAGCATTTGTTCCAAATACATTGTGTGTCGGGGGCTTTATGTTGGCACCAATTTGTCAATTTTGTCGGCCCAACAAATGACATGAACCGGCACGCATATAGTGAAGTCCGGAAATCAGCAACGTGTTGGAGGAATATGAAGTGTGAAAAGGATCTCTGACTGATATAATTAATTATGAGATATTTCCTATAATGAAAAGATTGTATTTGAGAGCTAATTTTATCCATATTATGATTGGAATTATTTTGGTTAAAAAGGATTACTTTGATTTGCATTGAGAAGATTCCTACGGGATGCCTAACTTTGTATATGTGTGGAGAGTTAATCGATTGATTCCCTTTACAACAAGGAAGCAAGAGTCCACGTGAGATTGGAAAAAAGAAGTTACGGCTTGCACATGTCCTACAAACTAGGAGTCTTCTCTTCCAAGAAATTAAGGGCGGCCGACTACTTCCTCATGATTATAAAAGCGCAGCCGCGCAGCACATCAACATCATCCCACGATCACATCAACAACAACACAAGGCCTCCGACGCCTCTTTTGTCTTTTCTTTCTTTTCAGTTCCTTTTCCTTTATGTCTTTTTTGTGTCTTTTTTCATGTAGCCTAGCAATTGATAGGTGTTTGCCTATTCTCCTTCATAGAAATAGGTAGCCTGTTATGGACTTTACTTCAGTGAATTCAATCTCATGTAATAGGTGTTTCTAATACTTATGTTGGACTACCATTGTACATCCGTCCGGGTTTCTTGTAATAGCGTTCCATCGACTAGGCATTCTGATGACGGCCATAATAAAATAAATAAGTAGATTAGGGTTTCATTGTAATGGGCATTTTAGTAATTTAAGTTTAGTTGATTAGGGTTTATTTTTAGGTCTTTCTTTTCTATTTAAAGGGATAAGCCGTCTTTGTAAAGTTCAGTTGTTTTTTATTAATGAAAAACTGAGATTTTTTTCTCAAACCTAATTCGTTTGGTCCATTTGTTGGTGATCGAATTAGTAGACAAATTTATCTTGTCCCATGTGCTGGTGATTTAAACTAGTATCGTTTTAGGTTTTTGGTGATTCGATGTTCCATTTGTTGGTGATTAAACTAGTATCATTTTAGGTTTTCGGTGATTCAACAGACCAAAAAATCGTTAACCTAGATCGAATTCCGATTGATAGGGCTTTCGCCAGCATCAGTTGGATCAGAGCCTTGTCTCTTTCCTTGATGGTCAAGTGATTTGCTTCTTTGAATTTCAAGTTTTGACTTAGAATTTTTTTCTTTTTCTTCCGGTTAGCGATAGCGTCAAAGCAGGCTGCTCAACTTGGGGAGCAGTTGCGTCAAGACCTCATGGCAGAATTTGATAAATATTCGGCATCCTTTGAATATCGACTTGTTGATTTTCTTGACTGGTGTGTGAGCGAGACCGTGGCGGCAGAGTTGTTTCGTTTGGGGTTGACAACAACTCATTCTAAACGGGCTTCGCGTCTTGGTTGTCCGTCCTCCAATTCCGCACGATCGATATGGGAGGATGATTCACACCATTATTCTTCTCGTCGAGGCGTTCTCCGCATGCTTCTCGGAGGCGGCGGGATCGTCATGGCGATGATAATCGTTATCTTTCAGGTCTACAACCCGCGATCCAGAACACGGTTTCATTGCTCACCCAACTGCTGCTGCTCAACTTCGCACCTCTGAGGTGGAGCGTCAATAGCAGTGTCGGAGTTGCAGTAAACGTCTCCAACCACTGCAAAGTCTGCTCTCCAGTCCAAGTGTTGTTGTCGGTTCGAAATTGATTGCAGCTTCGGCATCTCCTGCAACTACTCGTCCACCAAGACAAGGATTCAAGTGTTTTAACTGTGGTGAACATGGGCATCGTCAGTTGGACTGCCCACGACCGCTGCAACAGCGCAATCTTCTTGGCAACGCGAAGGGAACGCCAGAGGTTGACTTTTATGATAAACTTTTTACTCCCACTTTGAATTATGATCCTTGGGAGACACATGAAATCGATTGGACGAAGGCTCTTGTATTTGATGTTTATTCCAACGACGATGCTTGGAGCATGCCATCGTTAACTAGTTTTCATAATGATGGGGAGAAGTATATCAAGGCGGGAGAGGAATTTGAGTTGGAGTTTTTATCATTCGGAGCTCCACGTAAAGCCATGGATACGCTACCTTCGGTAGATTTGGTGTTTTCTACTGGTGTTTTGTCCTCTGGTCACGTAAATGGCCTAATTCGCCTAAGTTCAGACCAGCGTGGGGTGAGCTTCAACTTTTTAATTCTGCCTACTTGTGATTTGGCCGTAGTGATGCCTTTTGAATCTTTTGAATTTCATTTTGTAAAAGCCTCGTTCATGGTTGGTGAATTTTTGGAGATCAACATTTGGAAAGCTCACGTTTGGCACATGTTTCATTCGGGATCACGACAACTATTCAAGCCATCATTAACGAAGTTAGCTACACTTCCAAATGACCGTGGTAAAGAGTTGCTTCAACGCGACCAATGGACAGGTTTTGCAAAGTTTCCTTTTGACCATGGCAAACCTCCATCGTAAATTCAAGGACGAATTTTCTCCAACCCCGGGAGAATGATGAAGGCCATAATAAAATAAATAAGTAGATTAAGGTTTCATTATTTAAAGGGATTAGCCGTCTTTGTAAAGTTCAGTTTTTTTTTTACTAATCAAAATGAGATTTTATTCTCAAACCTAATTCGTTTGGTCCGTTTATTGGTGATCGAATTAGTGGACTAGTTTATCTTGTTCCATGTGTTGGTGATTTAAACTAGTACCGTTTTAGGTTTTCGGTGATTCGATGTTCCATGGGTTGGTGATTCAAATTAGTATCGTTTTAGGTTTTCGATGATTCGACGGACCGAATTGCAATTGATAAGGCTTCTGCCTGCATCACATTTCCTGCCGACGTTACTATCTTTCTGGTTTGTGTCATAGTGTGTTATCAGCTACGTCTAGTCGACGCTAATATCCGTGTCTTTGTAATAGCCTGCCATCGATTGGGAGTTCCCTATCGGCCCAAAGACTTTTTTCTTTTTTATATATAAATCGAGCCGCTTGGCTTGTTCCACTATCTCTTTTCTTCTTCCTCTTTTATTTTTATGAACTGAAGTAAACCGTAAGTCCTCAATTCCTGGTCCGAGGCTTGTTTTTCAAACTCATCCACAATCATCCTGATATTTTATGTTTGAGAGATTTTTGCCTTTTTTTCTTTCTCATGGTCGAAGGTGATTTTTTCGGCACAAACACTATGTCGAAACTCCTAGTGTCCCCTCGAGATTTTTGGAAGGACTAAAACCGCCTTAAACAAAAATTTATATCAATTAATGTTACTTTTTTTCCTCTTTGTTTTAACCTAGAAATCCTGAAATTGTTGCCACTTTTTACTAATGCTCTTTTATTCAACAACAATGTCTCGTAATTTATGCAACTATTAGTGAAAACTTGGAGAGTTATATATCTCCTTTAAATTTTTGAATTTTCATAATTACAAGAAAACATATGGAAATCTCAAAACCTTGTGTTAAAGACTTCATCGGCAATCAATCTTGGAATATTGGGCCCTTGGAGGATATGTTATTAGAAGAGGACATCACTTCCATCATAGAGATCCCTCTTGTGTTATCAACAGATGCAG